GGGTTGGAGGGACTGTGCTCCCTGCTACAGGGGCCTAGGTCTGCTCTCAGATCCCCCCCCACACACACACCTCCCCCCCACCCCCACCCCCGTGGGCTCCAAGAGGAGGGCCTGGAATTCTAGCCGCTTCACAGCATTTGTGTTCTGGGCGGAACCTGCCCCAGCCCCATTCCGCTCATGTGCTTAGCTCTGTCCTTGCCCTCACTCCCCCACTCCCGGCCCTAGACCATGCCCTAGGTAGGTGGCAGGCCACTCAGCCTGCCCTGAGAGGTCACAGTGGGGGATGAGGGGGAAAGCCGGGTCTTCCCTTCCGCCCTGCCCACAGGCTGCCCGCTGGGTGAGCTTGGCCAAGCCAGTGGCCTCCTGGGTGCCTATTTCTCTCTCTGGTCCTAGCACCGCCTGCCAAAGAGAAAAGATGTTTTTTCCAGTTTGTACCTTCCCTAGTTACTGGTTGAGAGGGCCAGGGGCAGTTAGCCAAGAGAGGCACCCCTTCCCAGGACGACACCAGACCCATGTTCTGGTGCCACTGACCACTCAGCCCAGCAGGGGCCCGGACCCCCTCGGCCAGCTGATTCCTGAGACAACTCACCCCAACTGGGTGAGGCCTGACCCGCAGCGCTGGCCCGAGTCATCGGGGTAAGGAGCCAAGACCCAGGACTTACAGGCACAGGCGTACCCGCAGGCCGGGCTCCCTGTAGAGTGGAATGGGCTGTTGACCACTCTCTGGAGTCCCCAGAGGTAGTAACTGGAAGACTTGGGGACTGAACTGTGGGGTCAGAGAACTGGGTTGAAACCACAGCCTCGCTACACATCAGCCCAAAGGCTGTGGGTGGCACTTACAATTTTTCTCTCTGACCTTCTGCTTTCTCCCAAGTAAAATAGGGACCTACCACAGCGAGGTCCCAGGCCCCTGAGAGGCATTAGCTCATTCCGTATGGAAATGCAACAGATGTCCTTCATAGCCCAGGCCCCTCACTCCAGAGATGGACTCTGCTCTCCAAGCACCTGAACATGGAGATCAGCCCTGGAGGTAGCAGGGGAGGGGGCTGAGATGAGCTGCCCAGGCTGAGGGGCCACAGCCATCCGGGGCCTCCACCCCTACAAAGTCCCAAGTGACCAGCGACTTAAGGGGTCGGATCTGCACTGGCTCATCACCACAAACAGGGAGCCCCAAGGACCCCTTGGCCAAAGTTTCTGGCCTCAAGGGCCTCTGGAGAGGGTGGGAGAGAGGGTAGCAAGAGGTTGATTCCCTCGTTCCTGGGGAAATGGTCTCGGCCTCAGCCCAGCGGAGTTGGTTAGTAACCTCACGCGAACTAGCTGAAGCCCTTCCTGCACCATCCCAGTACCACCTGGGCCTCCGGGCCAGCCGGACCCACCTTGTGGGAGCATGCCTCTAGCCACCGCGGTGTCCACCCTGTTCTAGGATGGATTCCCTGCAGAAGCAGGACCTCCGGAGACCCAAGATCCACGGGACAGTCTCCCACGTGTCGCCCTACCAGCCGCCCACGCTGTCCTCACTGCAGCGCTTGCTGTGGGTCCGTCGGGCCACCATGCTGAGCCACATCGACGAGGTCTGGCCCAACCTCTTCCTGGGAGATGCGTAAGTCCGACCCACGTGGGAGAGTGGGGAGCAGAAGGGGAGCCTCTCCCAGAGCCCTCCAGGGGCCTCCCATCATCTCTTTCCACATGTTCCTTCCCTTTTATAGAGATTACTTTTTTAATTGTGGAAGTAGAACACTCATAAGAAAAGTGCATATGAATAGTTTCACCAGCCAGGTCAAGAAATAGGACATTAGTTGTGCCTCAGAAATACCTTCTGAACCCTTCTTGCTATAACTGTTTCCTTGTGGACAATCACTAAGAGTTGAAATAATTATTTCCTTGCTTTTATTTATACTTTTACTGTTCATATACCTAACTATATAATTAGTTTAGTCTATCTTTTAAAGTTAGATGAATGGAATCATATTGTGTGTGTTTTGTGCGTGACACAATTTGTGCAAAATTGTAAGATTCGCCCATGTTATTATGTGTAGTTACAGTTCATTTTTTTATTACTGTAAAAATATTTGATTGTACAAATACCACATAGTTTATCCATTTTATTGTATACAAACATTTGAGTTGTTCCCACTTGTTGGCTACTATGAACAGTGATCCTAGAAACATTCTGGTACATGTGTCCTGGTAACACACACGCGTTACATAGGGTACATAGAGAGAGTAGAACTCAGTCATTGTTTCTCATTTTTTTTCCTTAAAATTTAAACATATGGACCAATATATGTGGATTTTAGAAAATTTCCTTAATATTTAGAGAATAGGTTCTTGTTAACAATATGGAAAATATGCTATCCTCCCTACAGATAACCAGTAATAAAATCCTTGTTGACTTTTAAAAAGTGCATAAACACACACACACACACACACACACACATACATGCTTTTTCACATTTCTTTTTTATTTTTACAGCAAATGGTATCACTTTATAATCCTGTTTTGTAACCTGCTTTATATCGAAAGCTTTTTTTAATGGAATCATACTGCATATTTTTAAAACCTTCTTAAACAACCTTCTGTTTTGTATTGTGCATTTTCCATAGGTTCTCAGTATAGCAGGAGCACTTTTCTTTTTTTAATTACATTTATTGGGGTGGCATTGGTTAATGAACACCCTTCCTTGTTCACCTGTATCTACTCTATTTCAGTGGTTGCATGGTTTGTCATTTACCTTACATACTCAGCCACCTATTAGAGGTTATTTAGTGATTTCCCCCCAGTTTCTTTCTTTAAGTCCCTAGAAGGAGACTTGCTGGACAAAGTATGTGAACTTTTTCTAAAAAAATATTTTTTATTGATTTCAAAGAAGAAGGGAGAGGGAGAGAGAGAGAGAGATAGAAATAACAATGATGAGAGAGAATCATTGATCAGCTGCCTCCTGCACACCCGATACTGGGGATTGAGCCCATAACCTGGGCATGTGTCCCTGACAGGGAATTGAACCATGACCTCCTGGTTCATAGGTTTACAGTCAACCACTGAGCCACGCCAGCCCGGCAAGTGTTAGGTCTTGAACAAGACATAGTAAATTAAAAAAAGGAAATAAAAAAAGGTCTTTGGAATGAGGAGTTGTATTTGTTATGGTTCCATAGCAGCTAGTTACTAAAAGAGGACAAAGAACTGGATTTTGTAGTTACTCTGTAATTAAAAGGTGATGTGCATAT